TTTCTTTTCCTTTACCTCACTGTTTCCTTACCCTTGTCCTGGTTCCTGCAGTTATGTCTGTATGCCTATGATTCGCAAGTTTGGTCTTTTTATGGTATCACTCAATTCCTGCATATTCCATTCTTGTGATTTCTTAAATTTTTCATAATGTTTGCTTGAGTGGTCCAGTTCATCCACTTTATCTTCCAATCTTGAGACTCTTATCTGTAGGGAGAAAAAAAAGGTCCTTGCCTGGTGAATAGGGGACGTGAAGGAGAAGTAAAGGCAAGAGTTGTTAGCATTACAAGTTCTAGACAGGGAACCAGAAAAAAGTCAGAACAGGGCAAATTTCAAATGTTCATATCAGAGTCCATTGGGATTTCTTGATGAGAGCTTCCAAGCATCCCTCTGTTGGGTTCTTCCTCGTTTTTCTTTTGTCTGCCAAGGCTGGACTAGAGAGTGATGGATTCAGGATTTCCTTTCAGCCACTTTGATAGCTCTTGGAGTGGTTAGAATCAGTGTCAGTTCCCTCTCAAAGGCTTCTAGATAGAGGGAGAAAACAAATTTATCCATCATTTTAGAACAATAGCTGGTTGTCTCCCTTAGCTACAGGTGGGCACTACAGTATTAGAGACGAAGGTATTACATCTGAACAGCACTTTCTGCTTAGAAACAAAATCATCAATGAGAAATAATTGTCTAAGTAACTTTTTATATGGACTTAAGCCTAATGTCTGAGAACTGTAATCCCTTGAACTCTTACAGAAATATACTGATCACTTTACTCTTTAGTTATTCTTTCCTTTTGGGTGTTTAAAACCATATAGTTGGCCCAAATAAATTAATTTATTTTTACACTTAAGGTCATTTGAGGATCTCTTCCTCAGGGGTCACATGGATTTGGGAGGAGCCCTGGCTTCTTTCTTTTACCAGTTCCATCTATGTGAAGATAAGTCAAAGGTCCTACGTGACCATGGCTGGCTTCACTTGGAAGCATGGAGGAAAAGTTTCCTCTGAGTTGACCCTTATCTTTGTAGACTGGACACTGGTTCAAGTCCATCTGGTGGGGTCTCCATGGCCTCCCTGAACAGAGGACAGGAGACTTACCACAGTTACAGGACATTTTGAAAGATGTTCCATAGTCCCCTGGAACTTAGTTGACCTTGGAGGGCAAGGAGGAAAAACTGTGCTTTAAGTCCCTCTGACCAGATTAGTATAGGCCTCAAAGAATGGCTGTTAAACATCTAATAAGGTTAGTTCCACCAGTCTGGTACTTTTAATTACCATGTGCTATGTAGTAAAGCTTGTACCTCTCTTCTAAGTGCCTCCATTACACACCAACCAAAGTTGCCTAGCAACTAAGTTCTTTTATAATATTTTGTAGTTCCAGAAACTATTGACTAAAACTCTCAGTGATATGAAGCAAGAAAATGTCTGCTTTAGGGGCTGGAAAGTTTAGTATCACATTCTGATTTCTGTACATTTGAATATCATATGAACACATGGAAGAGAATCATTTATTTTCAAAGCTTTGTTGATCATAGTAGTATTGTGCCAATTTGTTGGTTCCTTTATAGTGACAACTGTGACATGATTATGTCAATGTTGATGAGAAGGAGGAGGAGGTTATAGCTCAGTGGTGGAGTGCTTGCCTAACATGCATGAGGCTGTGGGTTTGATCCCTACAACTGAAAACAAATCAAATTAAAAAAAAATGGTAACAAGAAAGAAAAGTGCCTGATGGATGTACAGAAGGTCTCTGGAACTTTTCTCTAAATCTGAAATTATATCAGAAGTTGCAGACAGGGGCTGGAGAGATGGCTGATCCGTTACGATTGCTGATCAATCATGAGGATCAGAGTTGGAATCTCAGCACCCACATCTGATGATTCACAAATCCTTGTAACTCCAGCTTCAAGGGACCCAGCTGCCTCTTCTGGCCTCCTTGAGCACCTATACGCATATGTATGTAGACACTCATGCAGATACATGCATACAAACACATAAATAAAATTTTTAAAAAGTTACGTTCAGGTACTTAAAATGTATAAACATCTGTATTGATTAAATACCTAAATGTTTAGTCAAAAATATTTTTCAGAGGACATGCCAATTTTGTAGTAAGTCACATATGCTATTTCTTTCCAAATAGCATTAATTTTTCTTTTTAATGATATATAGTCTAAAATCAACTACATTTCTCAGTTCTGAATGAATGAAAGTTCTTTCCATATACAATTTCTAAAAAAAGATAGTATCTATAAAAAGGTAATATCTATGTTTTCTAAAATTTATCTTTAACTTTGTTTCGTGATACCTAGATTCTTTAAATAAAATATTCTAAATATTCAGTAGAGACTGTATTATAAGCATTTTGTCATTTAAAAATATAATCATCTGTGTCAGTTTTCCTATTGATGTGATAAAAGCAATTTAAGGAAGGAAGGGTTTATTTTGGCTCAGTGTTTAGGGGTGCAGTCCATCATGGAGGAACTGAAGGTGGTAGGAGGGTGAGGTGGTTGGTCAACACTGAGCCCGCAGTCAGCACTCAGAGAGGTGAGTGTTGGTGCCTCCACTCGATTTCCGTTTTTACGAAGCTCAGGACCTCAGCCTCAGGATGGAGACATCCACATTCAAGGGTGGGTCTTCTCTCTCTAGTTAAACCTTTCTGGAAGCACCTTCATAGACACACCCAAAACTGTGTTTCCATGGTGATTCTAAATTCTATCAAGTTAACAAAACTGATCATCACCTTACCTTCATTGTAAAGATGATCATAATTCTCTTACTTTCCCTAACTGCCAGGATTAAATCCTATATGTCTCAGGAACCTGGAAGACCCCCAAGCTTAGCTCCTTGGCCAGTCTCACTTGTAATTCCTCTCAACCCTTTTATATTTAAGCATGTCTTCTATGCTTCTCTATTTATTTATTTATTTATTTATTTTATTAAATCACCTTTCTCTGTTCTATTCTTACCATAGGATTTTTTTTTTGTACCAACTATTAGACTGAAAGCAAAAGCACATGAAATCCAGACCCTGTAGTATCTGATTCTTATTTGACTGTGCAGGCTGTTCCCATTGCTAGTGAGGGTGTGCCCTAGCAAGCTGGCTAGCATCCAGCATGGATTGTGGGCATCATGCCTATGTTGGCTGTTCTGTTTCAACCTCATAGGTTCTTTAGGGAAGTATTAAGTATATATGTATCAGTAGTGCAAGCTAGCCCTCAGAGCAGTGCTCTCTAACGAATAAATATTTGTCAGAATCATTTATGAAATGTTAGAATGAGGAACAGTCTTCAAATGAGGAGGAATCAGATACACAGGCTGTGGCTATAGCCAAGTCAGTCAAGACGGTGTTAAGAGAGCTCATTTCTCCCCATTCCTGTGCCTGGAGAGATGGCTCAGTGGGTAAGAGCTCTGGCTTCTTAAACTGATGATCTGAGTTCAATCCCCAGGAACAGCAAGATGGAAGGAGAGAGCCATTTCCCACAAGTTGTCTTCTGACCTACTACACATACTGTACTTTGTGGCATGCAAGTACACACACACACACACACACACACACACACACACACACACAAAACATATGAAAATATTTTTTAAAAAGAGAGATCTCACATCTCCCTGTTCTTTTAACCTTGACTTGAGGACTAGCTGATGTTCAGCACAGTCTTGGATCTTGGGATCATTGTTTTAAAATGCACTTAAATAAATTTGTAAGACTAGGTGTAAGAGGTGAGCAGGCTGACTAGCTGTATGCAACTTGTGGAAAAATGATGTTTTCATTTCATTGTGTCTTTATAGATATTTCCAAACATTATAGCCAAAAAGCTACAATAGAGCATGAACTTCCAACAGCAACACAGAAGCTGGTAACAACCAATGACTGTATCTTGTCGTCAGTAGTGGCGTTAACAAATGGAGCAGGAAAGGTAATTTTTCTTTGGCTTATTCTTAAAGTGTTTTTTTTTTCAATGACATAGAAAAATTGATCTGTAAAAGGACTGTGGAATATAAGGCCTATGTATGTATGTATGGGTGTGTGTGTGGTGTCTCTGTGGTGTGTGAGGTCCGTGGGTGTGTATATATGTATTGTGTGATGTGTGGCGTATATGTATGTATGTATTTGTGTGGTTTGCGTGTGTGTGTGTGTGTGTGTGTGTGTGTGTGTGTGTGTGTGTGTGATATGTAGGGGGTGTGTATGAGGTGTGTATGATGTGTATGTGTGTTTGTGGTGTGTGTGTGTCTGGTGCTGGGGATTGAATTCAGGGCCCTATGCATGGTAGGCATGGTAGGCACTCTACTACTAAACTACATCCTCAAACCCTAAGGCCTTTTTTATTTTGTTTTGTGAACTCATGTCTAATTTTTCTTCCTCCTTACCCAATATTTTTTTAGTTTACCTCAGTTGAACCATCTAGTTAATATTTAAAATATATTTATTATTTTTATTTTATGTGTATAAGTGTATTGCCTGCATGTGAGTATACCTGTGTCATGCAATGCCTGTGGAAGTCAGAAGAGGGCGTTGCATTCCCTTGGAACTGGATTTATAAGTTGGTTGTTAGCCGCCATGTGGATGCTGGGAGTCTAACCTGGGTCCTCTGCGAGAGCAACCAGAGCTCTTAATCACTGAGCCATCTCTCCAGCACCCTGTTCAATATTTAAAAACACTGTGGTAATGATTGGCAGTATACTTAGTGCTTGTGATGTGATGGATGAATGGATTACTTACCACTTTTTTTTTTTAAACCATCCAGTATTTTTCATTATTTTTTTACTGCATATATAGGACATAGGGCTTCATTATGTTATTTCTTACATAATTATTCATATTCACTCTCTTGTTACTTTCCTTTATCCGACTTTCCCTCCCACTGTTCTCCTCCCTCTTCCCAAATAGTTCCCCTTCTGCTTTCATGTTGCACATGCTGGTGGGCGCTTGTGCGCGTTTCCCCCCCCCCCCCCCCCCGCCCAGATTCTGTATGTGAAAGAGAATATGAGCTGTTTGTCTTTCTCCCTACCATCACCCTCTGTGGTTCCCCCTCCCCTCCCTCTCTGCCCCTTCCACCACATCTCCCTTCTACTTTCTTGTCTCTCATGTATATGAATAATATAGATGCTATGTTATAATGCATATAAATAATCTAGATGCTGCATATAAGAGAAAACTTGACATTTGGCTATTTTTTCTCATGTCCTCTCCTCCCTTTTGCCTCCCCTCCCCTTCCTTCCCCTCCCCTCCCTCCCCTCTCTTCTCTTCTTTTTTGAGAAGAGTCTCTTGTAGTCAAGGCTGGCTTTGAACAACCTTGACTGCCTATTCTATTCTCTTTTTGTTTAAAATATTTTATTTTTTTAATTTTATGTGTATGAGTGTACTGCATGTATGTAAGTGCACCCATGCCATGAAGTGCCTGTGGAGGTCAGAAGAGGGAGTCAGATTCCCTGGAACTGGAGTTATGGATGGTTGTTAGCCATCATGTAGGTGCTGAGAACTGAACCTGCATCCTCTATAAGAGTAGTCAGTACTCTTAACTGCTGAGCCATCTCTTTAGCCCTCTGTTCTCTTTTTAAAAAATCACCACCATTTACCCCTAGCCTATGCTCTGTTAAAAAAAATAATAAATAAAATATTTTTTAGAAAAAAACATTTTTATTTTTGTTTGAGTGTATTGCCTGAATGTATGTAAGTGTACCATGTGTATGCAATACCTGCAGAGGCCAAAAGAGGGCACTAGATCCCCTGAAACTTTAGTTTTGCTGGTTGTCAGCAGGTATGTGGGTGCTGGGAAACAAATCTGTATCCTTTGCAAGAAGAGCAAGTACTTTTATCCCCTGAGTCATTTCTTCTGCCCCAACAAAACAAGAGCAACAAAAAAATCCCCCGATAATTCCTTTGCTGATTTTATGCCATTCTGTAGTAGTGTTTTGTTGTTGTTGTTTTGTTTTGTCTTGTTCTGAGACAAGATCTTGCTTTGTAGTCCTGGCTTGGAACTCTCTGTGTAGACCATGCTGGTCTCAAACTCATAGAGATCTACTGGCCTCTGTCTCCTGAGTGTTGGGATTAAAGGTGTGTGGCAATGCGCTAAGCCTCTACTATTTTTTGTTTAAACATTATGTTATTATAGTATGTGTTGTGTGCCTGATGTTGTGGGCATGTTTGCATGCATGTAGAGATTAGAGGACAACTGTGTGGAGTCTGTTCTTTTCTGCATTTGCCTGGATACTAGGGATTGAACTCCAGTCTTCAGGGTTACCTGGCAGGTGCCTTTACCTGCTGAGCCATCCCACCAGACCCTGAACTTCTGTCCTTCTGCTTCCACATCATAGGTGCTGAGGTTAGAAGCTCACATCACCACTCCCAGTTTTTATGTGGTGCTGGGGATCAGACCCAGGGCTTCCTGAATGCTAGGCATGTGCTCCACCAACTGACCTACATTACCAACCCCAATATTTGTCTTTTTGACTCTGGCTTATGTTTTTTTTTTAATTTTTTTATTATTTTCATTTTATGTGTATGAGTATTGTCTGCATTTAAGTAGGTGCACCCATGTCATGCAATGAGTACAG